TTTTCTTAAAAATCATACTGTGGAGTCACTAAAGATAACCTTGCTGATACCAAACAGCAATTGACAAAAGCATAATGGATTTTGAATGCTTAAAAAAGGGCATCATCCTTAGATTGTATACAAATATGAAAACAGATCCAGAGTTGCTTTTTAAATGTTAACACATTAACTAATGAAATATACTTAGATAACCTTTATTATGAAACTTAAATCAATTCACCCAGTTTATTGTTCAATGTATTTCAAATTTACTTTTCATATGTATGTCTTAGTATTTTTATTATGCTAGGATTGCTATAGGCAAATGGTATTATATTCAAATAACCCAAGATATTCTACAGATGCAGGCTAAGTCTGTACTACAAACACAGACGTAATCTTGTACCCAGAAGGAAATGAAGAGGGACCTACTGGGAAAAATGGAAAAATTCATTCCAGAGAGACTGAATCTCTCGGAACAAGCACAGTCCCACCCACTCTGTGATTACAACTGCCAGTAAATACTTTACAGAGATTATCAATCTTAGTGAAACGGGTAGCAAACAAAATTTTTAAAAGTCTGTTCCTAATTACTTAAACATCTGTATAGGAAAAATATATATACTTTTCATAAAGAAAACAGAACCTGCATGTTGAAACTTAGAATTTGCAAGAAGGAATTTTTCAAATGCACTGAAGTTTAACCTGCTCACCACTTAGGGAATACCCATCACTTGTGAGGATTGTTAAATACATACTACTATTTATCCTGTGAATTATCTTAAATTAAAGAAAACCCAGTTCTTTATTTGGCCTATACCCAATCTCTAATCCCTAAATCAGGGTTGTGGCAGTCTTTTTACCTTCCTTCCTTTCTTCCTACCTTTTTCCTTTCTTTCCTACCTTCCTTCTTAAATATAGCACTAAGCTATTTCTATTGATTCCTTAAAAAGAATACTTGGTTTCTTCAGACAATTTTCATATTTTAGGAAAAGAGAAAACACTTTAGTTAACTGAGTAGGAATCAAAGGTACAAATTTCTGGTTATTAAAATAAATAAAAAATAAATAAATAAACAAATAGGGATGTAATGTACAGCATGGTGACTGTAGTTAATAATACTATATTGTACATTTGAAACTTGCTAGAAGAGTAGATCTTTTTTTTAATTTTTTTAAACTACCAAATTTTTTTAAACTAACATTTATAAACTTCCAAAAAATTTTTTTAATGTTTATTTGTTTTTGAGAGAGAGGGAGAGACAGAGCGTAAACGGGGCTGGTGGGGCGGGGAGCAGAGAGATAGGGAGACAGAATCAGAAGCAGGCTCCAGGCTCTGAGCTGTCAGCGGAGAGCCAGACATGGGGCTCGAACTCACAAGCTACGAGATCATGACCTGAGCCAAAGTTGGACACTTAACCGACTGAGCCACCCAGGCACCCCTAAACTACCAAAAAAAAATTTAGGCTACTTTTTAATGTTTATTTATTTATTTTGAGAAAAAGGGGGGGAGGGGCAGAGACAGATGGAGAGAGAGAGAGAGAGAGAGAGAGAATGAATCATAAGCAGGCTCTGTGCTGTCAACACAGAGCCTGATGTGGGGCTCTAACCCACGAAGCTGTGAGATAATGACCTGAGCCTAAACGGGAAGTTGGATGCTTAACCGACTGAGCCATCAGGTGCCCCTAAAAAAGTAGATCTTAAAAGTTCTCATCACTGTGGTGATGGATATTAAGTAGACTTATTTTGGTGATCATTTCTCACTGTATACAAGTATCAAATCATTACTTTGTACTTCTGAAACTAATATAATGCTATATGTCAATCATATCTTAATAAAACAAACAAATGAAGCTCAGAGCCAGAATTGACAGAAATGATGAAACTGGTAGACAATACCAAGCACTTTAACAAATGTGTATGTGGATTCCCTGAAAATGGGGGAGGGAACCAGAAAATAAAATGTATCAAAATGTGTAAGAGACAGCTAAAACAGTGCTCAGAGAGAAATGTGTACCTTTAAGTGTTTTTATTTTTTTTAAGTTTATTTATTTATTTAGAAACAGAGAGAGCATGAGTCGGGGGAGCGGCAGAGAGAGGGAGAGAGAGAGAATCCCAAGCAGTCTCCACTCTCTGTGCTGAGCCCAATGTGGGGCTTAATCGATAACACGACTATGAGATCATGACTTGTGCTGAAATCAAGAATCAGACGTTCAACTAACTGAGTCTCCCAGGCACCCCTTAAGTGTTTATATTTTTTAAAAAAAGATCTAAAAATCAAAGATCTAAGCTTCTGTCTTAAGATCTAAAAATCAAGGATCTAAGCTTTTATTTTAAGACAAGCAAATTAAACATATAAGTAGAGGAAATATCAGAGATAAGAGCAAAAGTTAATAAAATAGAAATCATACATTAGAGAAAATTAATGGTAGTATATTCTGGCTCTTTAAAAGATCAATAAAATTGATAAACCTCCTATTAGACTGGTAAGAGAGAAGACATAAGTTAACATGTCTTATATGAAAGAAAAGATCTTACTATCCATTATAAAGATATTAAAAGAATAATAAAATAAGATTATGAAATACTTTATAATAATAAATATGACAATTTAGATGTGATAGAAAAGCTTCTTAGTGAAACAAATTACCAAAACTGAAACAAAAAATCCTGAGCCATTCAATAAAATTTGATAAATTGTATTTCATCAAAATTGGTACCTCAGCTTTTCCAAGGACACTATTAAGAAAAGGAACAAATGATAGACTAGAAGAAAATACTCTCAATACTTAGACCTAAAAAAAAAAAAAGACTTGTATCTGGAATATATCAAGAATTCTTACAACTCTGTAATAAAGGACAACTCAATTTAAAAAGTAGCAAAAGATTTAAACAATTTCACAAAAGAAGATAAATTAATGGACAATAAGTGCAGGAAAAGATGTCATTAGTCATCAGGAAATGCAAATGAAAACTCTAGTGAGGTATTACATGGCCACTACAAGGTTAAAATGAAAGACTGGCAATACCAACTGTTGGTTTGGGAACAACTGATATTGTCACATATTGCTGGAGGGAGTATAAATTGACACAGGTTTGAGAAACAGTCGCATGGTTTCTTATAGAGTTAAACATACCACACAATTCCACTCCTAGGTGTTTGAAAGGGAAATGGAAGTATATGCCCATACAAAGACTTGTACACAAATGTTCGCAGCAGTTTTACTCATAGTAGCCAAAAATGAAACAATGAGCTTTCTGTCAACAGAAGAGATGAACTGAACTGGTAGAGCCATTGGATGGATACTGCACAGTGATTAAAAAAAAAAAAAAAAGAACATTTTAATGATTTATACAACAACAGGATTAATTTCAAAAACATGCTGAACAAAAGAAGTCAACACAAATGAATGTATACATCATGATTCCATTTATATGAAAACCTAGGAAATGCAAACTAATCTTTAATGACATACATTGGAGCTTAGTGGTTGTCTAGGTTCTGAAGTGAGTATGCAGGCAGCCAACAAACACTGGGGAATCTTTTGGGGTGATGGAATGTTCTATATCTTGATTGTGTTTATAGCAGCATATACATTGGTAAAAATTAATTGATCTGTACCACTAACACCTATTTAATTTATTGTATGTAAATTACACACCTATAACATCTAATTTTTTAGGTTAAAACTTTCTAAAAGTTTGTGTATTAGGTAGAAAACGTGTATTTGCTCTATCGGTACATTTCAGCTAATGTTTAATGGCCTACTAAATACATTCATTTGGTTAGCATATCAGATTTTAGGTGTGGTGTGCTGAAGGAAGTTTTAAGATATACCTGTTTTGGGGCGCCTGGGTGGCGCAGTCGGTTAAGCGTCCGACTTCAGCCAGGTCACAATCTCGCGGTCCGTGAGTTCGAGCCCCGCGTCAGTCTCTGGGCTGATGGCTCAGAGCCTGGAGCCTGTTTCCGATTCTGTGTCTCCCTCTCTCTCTGCCCCTCCCCCATTCATGCTCTGTCTCTCTCTGTCCCAAAAATAAATAAACGTTGAAAAAAAAATTAAAAAAAAAAAAAGATATACCTGTTTTGTTTCTATAATATCCAAGCCTAAAACAAACCATCTGGTGAAATTACATCTACTGAAGAAAGCTAAATAAAATATTGAGTTGAAGAGAGAAATGCCTTTATATAGTCTACCATCTTGCTTTTGACTCATATTTGGATTCATATTTGCCATCTTACTTTTGACTCGTATGCCAATTGTTAAGCATTAACCGAATAATGTATAAAGAATATAACTATGTTGTGCTTCTTTCTTGCTTACGGCTCCAGTTGCTCCTGAAAAAAAAAATCAGAAAAAATAATTTGTGCCTTCATTACAACTTAAAAACCCACCACATAGAATTGCCTAAGAGAAATACATGTTATTCATATATTAAACTACATGCTTTTAATCTAGATTTTGCCATTTTGTCAATGAATGGAAATACCTGTCTATGACCCAGACTAATGTTTTGGTTCATTTTCATAGCAGTATGGAGATAAAGCCACAATGTAGAAATGAAACCATAGTATGTATTACAAACAAATTAAGAGTGCTTTCCCTGACCCGCCTCCAAGTAGTTATGTGGTTTAAATAAAATAACTGGCATTGAGGGGCACCTGGGTGACTCACCTGGTTAAGCGTCCGACTTCAGCTTAGGTCATGATCTTACAGTCCTTGAGTTTGAGCCCTGCGTTGGGCTCTGTGCTGACAGCTCAGAGCCCGGAGCCTGCTTCAGATTCTGTGTCTCCCTCTCTTTCTGCCCCTCCCCTGCTCATGCTCTGTCTCTCTCTGTCTCAAAAATAAATAAAAACATTAAAAAAAAAAACAAAAAACTGGCATTGATTATGTCCCCCTGATGAAATCAAATGAACTTAATGTGTGCTACCTATAACTGTTTCCTGAGAAAATGATAGATACTTTGGAGACACAACAGCATGCATAAATATTTGTGACACTACAGTTAGGAAGAGTAAAATGCATTTTTCACAGGAATCTCCTTGGATCACAGGAATCAGTTTCAGGCAAGTATTGCTAACTCTCTTCTTAATCAACTACTCATTTACTCAAATTAGGCACGAGTCTTTATCTTTGGAAGGTCCAATCTAAACAGCTTGTCTACCTTACTGAGAATTACTGTCCTTCACACATCCCAGGTCAGGCTCACTACAGATCTCCCCAACTATCATCTCTTTAAATAGATAAAAACAAAGGGCCACTCCTTTCTCTATGGCATTCTCTGACTTGACATATCTATGGTATACAAGGCCATATGAACCAAGAGACAAAGATCAGATGGAAAATTAAGCAAATGACCAAGAAGATAAGTTTTTTTTTAAATGCTTAACCCGAATTTGGTCACAATCTACTTGAAAAACGATTAAGGGGTTTATAGAAGTAAAGGTTTGTAAAGTGTGTTGTGCTCGTGGGGGGCGGGTGGGGAATGTGTTTGTTGAATACAATTGAATCAAACACTGTGGTCATTTTTTACCACGTGCTCAGGATATTGCAGGCCCAGTGCCTTAAACATATGCTACCCTCTCTCTACGGTTCTGGCACATGCCCAGAGATCAGAATACGGTCCATGGATCATGATTTGACTTTCTGTATAGAATATAGCACTGTTTTAGGATTATTGGAAACAATACAAACATAAAAAGAAAGAGAAGATACTCAAAGAACTTACGTTAAATCACAAAGATTTAGCCCGGAAAACACTTAAAAGGGTATTCTACGTAAGTACTGGAATGTATAGCAAGGATTCTCATTGCAGTTCTTTCTTCTCACAGACAAAAGGGAAATGTATATTCTATTTTTTTCTACAAAAATAAAACGATGTCCTCATACTCAAGCCTGAGATATCTGTTTCTCATGTAAAAATACTGTAAAACTGAATTTTAATGGTTTAAAATCGTATACAAATAAATAAGGAAAGTATGAGTCCCTTAAAACAATGTATCATTCCTTAGCAAAACCAAAGTATTCAAAATAATCTTGAGATTTATAATAGATTTTTAATATTAAAAGGTTAGGTTTGAGTCTGAGAGGCAGAGATGTCACAGTTTAAAAATAAACATTTTAATCCAGCTCCAGAAAACATATCCGTGGTAACTCTGTGACATATATCCTTATTACATTACAAAGAAAATGTTTATTTTAAAGGCATTTTATCTCTGTAGTCAATATTCCAGATCATAGGTTGATAATGTAAACAATCTGAGTTTATATTCTAATTTAGAATCCATGGTGAATTTGGAGACTTTTCCTCTCCAGGTTTATTATCAAATTTATAAAATTTATAATATTGGCTTAACTTAATTTTTTCCCCATTGGCCAGTGATAAATCTTTACAACTGGACTGAGATCATAAAAAAAATCTACAAACTTGAGATTCTGACAAGATATAAAAATGCCCAAGTGCAGTCTTCCCCTATAACTTTGTTTTTTATCCAATCCAGCACTAATGTATGCAAGCATTTTTGGAAATGTATCTGCAATTATCCAAAGACTATACTCGGGAACTGCCAGGTACCACATGCAGATGCTTCGAGTAAAAGAGTTCATTCGCTTTCACCAAATCCCCAACCCTCTGAGGCAGCGGCTTGAAGAATATTTCCAGCATGCATGGACATACACCAATGGCATTGACATGAACATGGTACGTATTTCTGTTTTCCAAAATGGAAGTACTTCAGGCATTATAGCTACAGTTCAAATGGGAAAGCCAGTCTCACCAGCTTTGAACCCCTTGCTTTTGTTTTCCTCTCGGATGTTTATTTTCTCCCCTGGAGATAGTCTCTCATTCTCAATTCATGGCATTGCATGGTGCTATATCTAGTTATACTGTGTGGCAAAGGCATTATAACATGATGCAAACTGATATAACTGTGTAGTAGAGTTCCCACTTCTGGTTAGGGAGAACATGATTAACATAGGATTTGGGCTTTCAGCACTTGTCCTAGCTTCCAGCACCCAAAAAAATAGTTGGACCCATGTGTGTTAAGATTTGACAAGTAAATAGTAACAATCACTCTGATGCCCCCAAACAGAAATCCAAAGTTAACATTCCTTTAAAAAAAACAGGACATTTTGAGGATTTGTGGGAGAGGTTAGGGAACTTCAGCATGCCATAAACATTTTATGATTGGAAGTTTCATATTTCTGTTAAGGACAAATTTTTCTATATTTACAACAATTAACTATGTGCCCTTTTACTGTACCTGGTTTAATGCATCTTTCCTTTCAAGGAGGAAATATGGATTTCTTCATAACTTTTAAGCAAATTCAACATCAACAATCACTTTTCATAATTCCTCCCACGTCTATCAATGTTTAAAAATCAACATAATTAAGGACATCACCATGGCATAAAGAGCTCTTTTTATTATTAGGTGAATTGCACACATTCTCTTGACCTACCTGTATAGCTACAGAGACTGATTCCTACAGATAAATTATGTGACACGCCCAAATTCTATGGCATATCACAGATCTATTAGGAAAGATTAAAAATACGATGGCCTCCCATGTGTCAACTCCTCCAGTGGGCAAGGACCCTGTTGCTAAGAATTCTTCAGAAAATCAAACCACTCACATTTAATGACATGAACAGCATAATACAATTTTTGCATAAGTAAGCCTATCCAATTTAATTTGACATTTTTTATTTGACTGGTAATATTCTGACAAAAAAGCAAATTCTGACAAAAATTAGCAGTCAAAGGGCAGAAGGCACGGCAAATGTTGCCCAATTTGAAAGCCATGTAAGGATAAGCAGATTAAAGCCAAATGTGATGTATTTGACTGAGAAGTAAGGACATGCCGGTATAAAAATTGACATTTGATAAGCCAATCAATTAGTACATTTCATATAAAAGCATAACTGAATTCCATGAGTTATTTCTAATTATCCCAAAGTTACTTGAGAAAATTCATTTGATAAATTTATATCACTAAGATATAACTTAAATTTCATAAGAAAGCACCTACCAATTTATCACTTTCGATGTTTCCATCTGTATTATTGTTGAACAAAGATACCAGCATTCAGAAACTATTGGGGATTCTGTAACTCTGGGTTGGCTGAAGCAGTGTCAAGACTTTTTAATCAGAACACGTGTCACTCAATTTTGTTGTTCCATACTGCCAGATTATTTCACTAACAGTAATAAAACAATTATATATTGTACATCTCCTCTCCATATAACTAGTTTTGTGACCATTTTTGTGATAAAGTCTCTTCTTGACAACTATTTAGCTTTCATTGTTTGACTCTATTACCTATGAATATGGTTTATATACCACTTGCCTATTTACAATGTACTTATGAAAGATTTATCTCTTTCCTGTCTGCTTCACACCTTAATACATGGAATCACAACACCCACCGGTAAGAACAGGAGGTATTTATATCCAATTTAATTCTCGTGTAAATTGTGGAGAACACCCTTGTTATCTGTCAGGTTTAGAGCTTGTTAAGTGATTTCCAATGTTAGTTCTGATCTTTTTTGCATGATGTAGCAAAGGAAATACAAAGCAAGGACCTGGAGAAGATAACCTGGAAGAGGCCAAGTACAGAATAGAAATCCTTAAGTTTAACAAGAACTTGACCTCTAGTAATATTTATATACAGTTTCCCCCTCCCCACAAAAAGTCACTTATCTGCTCCTTCCTCCACTCTGATAAAGGTTATGGGTATACGGTTTGCATTAGATAATTGTCATAAAGAAAATGTCATTCTCTTTCATCATCCTCTATTTTCATGATGTAGGTGCTTTACTTTCCTTCCATCTGCATGCCTGTAATTACATGATCCTGGAGTGTGTAAGCTCGAAACCATGTGCCACTGAGTCTTGCATGTGGTTTTGAGAGCTTGACTTTGCACGAACTTCTTGTTTGTACACAGTGTCTACATTTCTCATCTTGTGACTGCAAAGTGAGTAAAAAAATCAAAGTGCAAGATAACTGAAAACTCAGCAAGTGGAAGATGCCTGCTTGTTACACACAATGTGCAAAAAACAAAACAAAGTTAGAGAAAAGTAACTGTACTCTTAGACTATTGAGAGGTTAAAAAAAACAAAGTAGATTTTTTTACCTCTAAAACCACATTCTTATAATCCCCGTGTCTTGTTAGTTTATTGTTAACCAAATAGTAATTTAATAATAATTTAAAGTGATTTAAATTTATGTATTGTGATACATAAAGTACATCAAACTGTTGTATTTTACATCAGCATTTCACGTTATTTCATTTAAGCACAACCTTAGACATAGCTTCTCATGAAACATTTCAGGTCATTTTTTTTTTTACTGTCCAACCATGTCAAAATGAGGTATAAGGTTTCCAATTACATGTATTAACTGACTCAAAATTATTTTTCATAACCCAAAACATGGGATTCCTTGACAGAACTCAAAACATAGGAAATAGGCCTAAAATGTGCAGCCATATTTCTTATTCCCTGGATCTTTTGCTTTTTGTGAAATAGCTATTGTCACAATATTCCAGAACCAAAAGTATTCTGGGGACATTTATGGGCTCCCTTTCAATGGAACCAAATGGTTCAGAGTACAAAGGGAAAAGAGTCAAGATAATGAAATTAAAGAAAGGATAGTGTTCTTTTGTATCTGATGTCAAGCTTAGAAATAATGACAATTTTTTCAAAAATGTCTATAGGTCAATTCTGAAAAACTCTCTCCCTTCTACTCCTCCAAATTTGACCAGTTAGGAAGAGGAGATACTTTCTCAGATTAAGATTGAGAAAGGGTATCTCAAGGATTTTCCCAAATTGAAAGCTGTCCTCTGACCCAGTCTGAAACTTTCTGATATTATCCCACATTGATTTTAGTTACAACATTGTCAAGAACTGAAAGTCAATATAGAGTCAAATTTCTTCATATTACACACAAGGGCCTGGCCTTGTGACCAGGCTCTATACATCATCCTGGAGGGAGGGAAATAAATCATTCATGACAGAAACGACTTCATAATTTAAAATTATATTGACATGGAAGACAATCCTTTATGAACAACTGAGGAAGAATTTTATTTCTTATCTTAAAAATGCCCCCCCCTAGTTATGGCTAATAATATAAAAAAATAAGAACAGGCATTCAGAAGACCTAAATACCAGCTCTTCAATTTGCCACTCATCTTGGACAAGTCACTTAACCTCTCTGTAATTTCATGAAACTTGTCATTGTCAAATGTTTTTAAAGCACCAGAACTCAAATATGCTAAACATATAGAACAATTATTATGGGAGATTTTCTGCTTAAAGATGGAGATTCAAACCTACCTGCTGCCTGCTCCCTTGCTATCTGTAGTGAGCTTCTGGTTCTCTTTTATGGTGAATTGTCGATGACAGAGAACAGAAGGGAACCATTTCAGGTAAACACTAGGACAGGAATTGAGTCCCATATGTGGGGAAGCACACGAGAAAATTAAGGCAGGTAGTGCGGAAACAACTTTATTTAATTTATTTTAGGAGGAAAGAGCAACTGACATTTTTTTTTTTATCCTGAGGTATTAATGGAGAAATTTTTGAGAAAGAGACATAGAAAGGAGTTGGAATGAGAACCTAGGAAGAGGGATGAATGTTTCAGCAGGGTAGATAGACAAGTTTTCCTTAAAGACAGGCAGGTACAAAAAGAAAAAGGGTAAAGGCACTGACTTTGAGGAGAAAAGGAGAAAACTCAATGGTATTAGCACCACATGGTCCAATGTCCTTGGTTAAGCAGAGGGTAGATTAAGTCCTCAGAAAGAAGGAGGTATAAAATAGGAGAAGAGTTGAAAAAGTGGGGAGAACTTTTAGGGATCTCATTCAAGAGTCAACTGAGTAGGCTAAAAATGCTTAGAACCAAAATAGGACTCGGAGTGACAAATCATTCATTTATGATAGCCCAAACAAACAAAGCCAATCAAAATGGAGAAGAGACAAATAAATAATAAGCATATTGTTTAATAGAAATTCTTACTCCTTGGAGTTGATGTGATGTCTAAGAAGCATCTTAGTGAAAATCTCATTTCCTTCCACGGCTCTTCTCCAGCTCCTCTGCTATCCCTCAGAGAATCATTTGTTAACTCTACCTATTGACCTTAAGTACTAACTGCTACCTACCTACGACTACTACTGACTGCTGACTACTCTCTACTTAATTGTTAACTACAAACACTGATTATTTCTGCATCCATGATCTAACTCTACGCCATCAAACACTTTGTTGTACCCATTCTCTATGCTAACTGAAATGACTTCATCTATGCCAGGCCTTTATATAAATCTCCTCCACTCACAGTCTATTTTGATACACCATAGTGAAAGGTAATGATGAGCTCTTTCAGTCCTGTGCAAGTCAGCCACTCATATAGAAACAGTCCTTGTGACATTAAACCCCATTGGAAATGTTAAGCAAAATATACAGAACAGCATGGCTTGTTTTTACCATATTGTTTTCATCCCCCTTTAACTTTTTCTAAGGATCCTTTATGCAGCCAAGTTGATAAATAGGGTCAATGGAAAACCTTTGATTCTTTAGTGATAAAGTTTAAAAAAATGCTTAAAAATACAGTGGCCTCATATTTACCCCTCTAGCAGGCAAGGATTCTAGGAATTCTTCAGAGAAGAAAATCACTTACATTTAAAGATACCAATAGCA